AGCGTATAACGTTTACGATCTAAACTAAAATTTGTGTAACTTCATTCTTATCAATTCTTCAACTATACACCTCCGTTTCCAGTGGTTCCTTTTAGTTATCCGTTGTATAAAATCGTAAGCGTAGCGAAGCAGTTTTCGATAGTTTGGGAAAAAGGATATCGCATCGCGACGAAAAAGTTACTTCCGCAACGTATAAGTTCCGGGATCCGGATTGCACGCGCGTGCTCGCTGGAGAAGAAGAACGAACGGGCGGCACGGGGGACAAGCCGGAGGGTTTCGCGAGGCAAAGTCAAACAAATCATATAAGATAACATTAAAGTACGACGGGGTGGAGAAGGCTGTCGCACGAACGGGGGTTGCCGGAGTATCGACGATATACTTGGCGCCCCGCTCGATTCGAGTGAGGATATCTGGATATCTCTCACTCAACGGAGGAAACAAAACGAGTTCGTGAAAGGAGGAGTACGCAGTATGGCTGTGAGGGCACGTGAGGTAGAGATGTCGCAGTGGTGGACGAAGGGGAACAAAAGAGAGAGAAAGAGAGAGAGAGCGAAGGGAAAACTGAACACCCTGGGGAGCCGACAGCTCGTTACGCGAGACATGGTGCAACTATCCCGGCTTTCTCACCCTCCTTTCCTAGATTTTCCTTCCTTTCCGCGCATCCCCCTCCCCCCTCTCTTCTTCTCCCTTATCTGTCTCCGTCTTGCTGGCGTCTCTCGTCTCCCTCTTCGCTCTCTCTCTCTCTCTCTCTCTCTCTCTCTCTCTGTCTTTCCTCCCTCTTCTTTGCATCTCTATTTCTTCCTTCTTCCGCGACGCCTCTCGAGCTTGCAGCGCGGTTGAAGTAATACATATATATGTATAGTATGTATATATATACATGCATAGAACGCCCCTGTGTGCCTTGCGTATACGTATTACTACTCAGTAACAAGTGGGTATTATACCGGGGGTTGGCGATACCATTACTGTCCCGAACAGTCGCCCGTTCCGACTAAGGGGACGACGCCGCGCGCCATCGATGGTCAGCGCGGTTTATGCGTTGCGCTAGTTGCCTCCGCCCCATATCCTCGGGCGTGCTATAGTTTTCCAGATCGTGGTTACGACGAGTTATCGCCTTGTACTATCACCGAACGTGAGTCTTCCCCGCTTATCTGAATTATGTAATAGTTCAACTCTCCGCACCTCGAACCGAACACGCTCGCGACGACCCACCCTCGTGAGATTTATGAGATTACGGATTACGGAGGCTGCGCCAAACGGATATATTTTTATATACACGTGTCACCGCAAAATTTACGCGTTTGAGATTTTGATGTTACCTCTCACGTCGGAATTTGTTATCGCGTTTCGCCTCGCACAAAAGAGTATATTCTCATAACGCGATTTAAGTAGCAGTCAAAATATTAATCTGGAACCAATTTTTTTTCACAGAATTGTCTCGCGAGCCTCTTCTATCGAATTTCTAATTGTTTATTCAGTTTTTTATACAATGTAAATTAATGATTTCAACGATATTCTCTCGGAGAACAAATGACGTTTAATTTTGACGGTAAACAATTTTCTGTACAAACCAGCATCACCTTTTGATTAAAAATGGATCTCTAGTTGCCGCGAACGAGTCTCTACCTCCTATTCGTTTCTTTGGCTGCGCAACTTCCAGACAATTATCCGAAGTACGCCTCGCATTTTCCCGAAAAGCGGTAAAATCCTTGCCGGGGTCTTTTTTCGTGCGTTCACCGTAAAGAAGCGTGGCAAAGGAGTAGAGCAAAAGAGCGGCGTAAAGAGGGCAGGAGGAGGCGGAGGAGGAGGAGGGGGAGGCAGAGGAGCTCGGTAATGACTGTCGCTACTTTTCCGCCGTGTCGGAAGCGCATTGCGCCATTTCCGTCAGACCGGAAGTGCGGTAACAAAGAGCTTCCGGCATGCGGTCTCAAGGAGGTTGTTACGACGAGCGCGGGAGCACTCGGTGACATTTCAATGAACTTTGCGGCGGGTACCGTTCTCCACCTAAAGTTCAGCCGTGGGTCTAACGTGCGTTTTGAGTGTTGATGAACTGGCGGTATTAAGTGCCCTATTGTGCGCCCTCGCGACTGATATTAACTTGGGTCCCAGCCGAGACGGAACCGCGTCACGTGTAGCCGAGCAAAATCGCGGACTATTAACCTCATTCTTATAACGAGAAAAGCATTCGTTAGTTGAACGTGCTGCAGTTGAGTGCTCGGGGATCGAGCAGGCTTATCTCCGCTTATCCCCGCGCTACGCGTTGTACGTGTTACCACTCGACGCGACGTGTGTGTCACGCAGGCTGCGAAAGTTCACGTACGGATCTTTGACTTGAGGGGATGCTGGGGCGATTCTGCACTCTTTGCACCGTTCGCTCCTAGAGCTGTCAATTCGTGAAAACATTTGGGTAATGTACAAATACGTGGCTTTTGTGCGCGGGCCGACAGTGGTCCACTAATCGGACTGAATCAGAGAAATGAGGTTTAGTAACCTGACAAGAGATCTATTCACTCGAATAAGTTATAGGTTCGCACTTACGTTAGTGAAGGCTCTGTGGAAGAACAATAGCGAGTTAAGATAAGGGCGATAAGAGCCTTTGACAAATTTTTAATACGATATTTAAAGGTGTTTTCACGTAGATGAAAATGAACAAGAACACACAAATTTGTCAGTTTTTCAGACAAATCCACCCCAGCGTCCCCTCAAGACGACGATAAACGCAGATTTGACTCGGTTGAGTTTCTAAAATTGCGCGCTCGCAATTAGACGTGCGTAAGCGACGTCACTTTGCGTGTCTGAGCGCGTAAAATGAAATATGTATCTCTTCTGTATATTTGCGGCGAGCTGCCATGTCACGGAATCGCGCCAAACACGTGCGAGCGGGAAATAATTTCCTGGCATAGTTTCCAATCTCGAGGCGTGCATTGGCACAACTTATTCAAACCCTTGCAGCGCGAGAGATGTAAAATAAAAGTGAGGCCTGGGAAGAGGCTGGCGTTATTTTATGAAAATTACATCTCCCGCTTCATATCCGCTTCCCAAAAGCGGTGGGAGCCGTCGCAACTCGTTACAGGCATTACGTGCAACGTACGATGCCAGTTGTGTTACTTCGTGCACTCGCCTGCATTAGTTTGCAAGACATGCGGAATAAATGTCGCATACCGTACTTTACAAAGTTTAGGAACTTGAAAATATCAGTTCCAGAAACTTCGATTATGAAGTCGTCAATTGGATCACGTTACGAGAGACTGGATCATCCGATTGGTACTAAAATCTTATCTTATTATTCGAGAGCCAGATTTTAAATCCAAGTTTCCTTTAACTCCGATAAATCTGATTCGTTACTTTATTTTCTACTTACGAGCACGAACCTTATACAATGTTTATTAGGTCATTTTACGCAATATCGTTATGCAATAAAGGATTATTTGATTGAACTTGAGGTTAAAGGCGACATTAATCGAAAGCGTATTGCACTAATCGGACTAATTTTACGCTGAAGTGAAAGAGATAAATTTGGAGCCGCCGGGGAAGACGCGGGAAATAATCATACATACAGAATAAAAAATTTGTGGGTTACGCTGTTTCCGATATTAAATCGTCTCGAGGCCTCGTCTGCGTCGGGAAGTTTATCTCCGCCTCATATTATTCGAAGAATATTTTATTTCCCACGGCCAAAGTTTCCCAAGTTTCAAAATTTTGGCACTGAAACATTCCGGGTTTGTGATAGATGAGATTTAGTTGGAACTTCCGAGCCAGGCTGTCATGCGCAACATAAAAGTGACGTTTGTCCCGATTTCAAGTCTGCCACCAAAACGTCCTATTTCTCAACGATTCGAAAATTTGTTTTCCCCGATCTTTGTTCTCCGGGGCTGCCGAGATTGCCAGACACTTTCCCCGGATTGTCGAGACGCGTGATTACCGGCGGCGGTATTTCGGCCGCACGCGCGTCCTAAATTATGTCCCTTCGGATTCCGCCATCGGAATAAAATGCTGCAAGAGCGGTCAGCGAAGGGAGGCCGAAGCGAGGGGGGCGAGAAGGGGGCGGGAGCGGTGGCGCATGCGTTATAAAAACATATAAAAATGCAATGGTAGGCAAAAGTGGGAAAATAGCGCCGGGAGAGATACAGAGCGCGGGGAATAGCCGCGCTAAAGGGAGAGGGAAACGTGTCACCGAGAGAGGAGAAAGGGTGCAATTAAAATTAGCGCAATTCAGTCACTCGCCGGTATAATTCGCGTGCCCGGCATTTATATTATTAAGTCGCGCAAATTTCTTTCGTCACTTTACCCCCATCGCTTTTGTGTGCGCGCACTCACACGTACAGGTCCTACCTGCCTCGCACGCCCTATCAGCCATTCCGCGCCCTCCGCGTTATGCTTCCCGTGCGTTTTTTTCGGCGCGACCGAACGTCGCTTCATTGCCGCGATTATCGTCGCCGGCAAGGAAGTAATCCCAGGTTTCGAAGCGAATTACGTTTAATTGCTCTTATTGCTATAGGACCGGGTCGGCTTTATTATTCCCTCTTCAATCACGCCCTCCGAACGCGCCGTCATTTGACTTTTTAAGCTGTCCCTCCCGCCCTACCACGGCCCTGCCGACGCCGACGCGTTTCCACATCCGTGCTTTTTCTACGCGCGGCAAAAACACCGCGTTCCAAATGAACGTTGTGCGAGCCCGGCTACGAGTAATTCTCGTTAACCCGCTATTTCACTCTGCCATGCCGTCGGCCGAAGGGATTGGTATTATAAACGTCAGCGTCAACTCGTTCGCAAATGGATGGACCATTTCAATTCTTCATGTTAGAATCATTCCCGATAAACTTTGCATCCGTAATGGCACTTTTCGACTTTTCGTTTACAAAACTGAGCTTAGGGCCAGAAATTATATATAACACATCTCTCTTAACTTGTCGATGTTCTCAAAGAGAGCGATTCCAATTGTAATAACGGTGTTATAATTCAACAGAATAGTGCCAGTAAGAGGGAATGAGTTTCCTTACCTTTGGATGTGTTCTCCTAGGAAATGCTACCTTTGGGTCGATCTGAAACAGAAGAAACGTCGAAAATTAAATATAAATTGTCCAAGGCTCAACTAATATATACGGGACGGTGTCACCAAGTAACATATAAAAATCTGTATGTGGCAACTTGTTTAAGTTTCTCGATGATAAATCTCAAACTGTCTCGAAAGCTCCGCGTTCCGTCGAGGATATAACCGCGAAAAGAACATTACGCGCCACATGCGAATTCAAACTCGGAGACAAATCTTGTTCGCCTGCGAGTTTTGCGGGAGGCAGCGGGGCGGGAGGGAGGGGCAAAGAGAGAAGCAACAAATATGAAAATACGGCAAACAAAAGAAACCATATGAAAATAGGTATTACATGCAAGCGCAGTGGGAAAACGCGGGAAAGCGAAGGAACAAGAATAAACGAACGAACAAAAGGGGGAAGCTCTCGGCGGACTGTTTTCCCCAGTTGAAATCCCCATTACAATTAATTACATAGTAATAAAGAGTAGGTGCTCGAGAACTCCGGATCGACTAACCGAAACCTCGGCTGCAGCCGCCGCGCCGCCTTTTTTCACTTCGCGGGCGATCCCCGAGGGGGATGAACAGACCGACTAAGTCGAACGTAAGGGCACCTTACGTTCCGCGCTTCGCTAAAAAGGTCGTAACCACCCTGACCGCCCTCACGAAAGTGCAGAACTTCTGGCGCGACAGCCGCGTAAATTTCTGACTCAAAAGCGTTTTACCGCTCCATTTTTTAAACACGACGCTAATCAATAAGAATATCATCTAAATATAATTGCACTTAATAAAAATAATAAAATATAAGTGCAATTGTATATAATACATATATTATTATATCATAAATGACTAATTTTATTATATAATTAAACTCATAATTACTTGTAATATGTAACATTATTGCGCATCGCTGTATAAGCGCGCTGGACTTGCATTACTTGCAGCACTGCGAGATAAACAACATCATGAATATTAAGCTCATAGAAATCCGTAGGAGTATTTATTGTTAATACTAGAATTTGCTGGAAGTACCATCCTGTTACTTCAGCGCGGTGAAGGGATCAGCTGATTCCGCCGGCGGTTCTAATGCTAAATGAAACAACGTCTCTGTCTCCCCTCGTGTCCCTTTCTCTCTTCTCCGCCCTCCGTCTCGCACCCTCCCACCGCATTCTCGGCGCGTATTCAGTGCTAAACGTGACTACTTAGTTTTGAGTTTTACTATGCTATTTGCCACCGTTTTACCGACCAGGAAACTATTTCGCGTCGTAATGGCGCTTCTTCAAAAACATAAAAGGCGTATTACATCAACGGAACAAAATTATATAATAAATGTATCGCATATCTGAGGAAAATGCTAGAATAAAACCTAGTGCCAAAGCATGAAGAATTTTGACGTGTCGATATACTGTTAATGGAGGTAACTTTTCATCGTCGCTGTCTCCAAGATTTCATTGCGTACATACCGCAGACCAAACGCTGCGTCGGTAATTCAATAGCCGCGCAGAGAACTTTGCGTTTTCCCAGAAATTCTCAAAATAGGCCCCACCATATCGCCATTCGCTGAAAACTTACGCAAGCTGTAACACCCTGCCTTGCATCCCGCGCTTCCGCAACAATCGCAATCTCGAGTTACATTATTAAGTCGGCGCGTTTCTCGGGGCGCGCGCTTGTAATTAGCTTTTGAAGGCGTCATTGACGCGCCATAGGAAAAAAAAGTCTATTCCACCACCGAGGGGAACGAATTTTACAATTCCGCGGCGCTAGGCTCTCTCGGAACAGAGAGCGACCGGCACCCCGGGCGGTGGAAGCCACAAACGTGGTAATGACAAGCAAGGGAACCCGCCACCGCCATCGCCACCACCAGGCACCGTCACCGTCATCATCCACCCCGACGCAACGCACGGCGGTTCTGTCTATCTATCTCTCTTCCCGTACTCAGAAACCACTCCCGTTTGCATAATCCCCTACGGCGAAGTTCACACCGGTCGCTCGCACGCTCCCGGACACGAGAGGTGTCTCGACGACGACGACGACGACAGCGACGACGACGATGACGCGAGACGAGAGACGAGAGAAAGTCTTCCCGCCGTTCTTTCGCTTTCGTAATACCTCTTCTTCTGATCTCGCCTTCCGATATAAGGGAAAAGCAGGCGGGGGATGAAGGAAGTGCCTCTCAAACTTCGCTACTGCACCCGCAGGAGCTATTTGCAACGGATTTCGCTGTACACGTCGTCCGTCGGATACGAAGTTGCGAGCTATGACTATGGTTCACACGTATATATATATATATATATATATATATATATATATATATATATTGAGAAATTGGAACAACCGATGACGTTTCTACCTTATATTATAAACGCAAAAATAGGCAAAGTAAGAAAGATTTAGATATTAGCGATCAAATGCTAATCCTGCAATATCAAGTATAAATTACTCTCTTAATGGGTTCTTACATATTTCGCCCTCCCTTTAATTACATTTCCTTAGTTACTCGACGGTTATTCCAAATCAATTTTATTCCTGTATCGAAACTCTTTTCCCCGCGGCATAAATTGCGTCGCAAAATAATAATAAACAACGAAAGGACGCCATCTACCTTTTCGTAATCAATTTTCTCTATCTGATGTAATAAACGTTGTCAACGAGACGCAATTCGTGGTCGTTCAGTCGATCAACGTGAGATCCCTCGATGTCCCATTCATTCGATTCGTCTCACCGAGCGATGGTTTCGCGAGGGCAGAACAGAGAGTTGGTAACGAGAAGATAGAAAGCGAAACGACGAGCGAGGGAGGCGAGCGGGAGAGAGAGAGAGAGAACGTCGCCGCGAACGGAGAGGTAGCATTACCGAGAAAAATCGAGAGGCTCGAAGCCATTTTCGCAAACATAACCCAGTTACCCGATATCTCGCGAAATGATCGGCCGCCAACCGTCGTCGTCGTCTTCGTCGTCTTCGCCGTCGTCGTCGTCGTTGTCGAAGACGATAGAAATTCAATCTGGTTGGCACGCCTGGAAATTGGAAGAGCCACCTACCCCTGGATGCTTCTACCCTGAAGGGGCGCGGTAGAAAGGAGAGCCTCGAGTCGGATCGGGAGCATTTGGAAAAGTAATTCACGACGCCATTCTTCGCGACCCCCGCGTTCGCTCTCCCCCGCCACCAGCCCCCGTCGCGACCTAAAGCGGTGGTCTCGCACCGAAACCTCAATCCATCCCACCCCCTCCGCCCCGTTTCTCCCAGGGCGAACTGCATCCGCGGATAACGCCAACGAGAAATTTCACAGGCGAACTCGCGCTAATCCCGTAGGAATTCGAATGCTGGTTAAATTGTTATACGAGGTATGTGGTCGCGCGCGGCCGTATCAAAGACAGAAGAGACGCGAAAATGGCCGGGGAGGCCGTATAATGTTCAAGTTTCAATTATAACGCCGGGAACGAACGACTTGCGGCGCGAATTTTCGCCGAATTCCAAAGCTGGACGAGCTCCGTTCAAACAGCGACGGAATTTATTTTTGACAATTCTGCTAGCGCGCTCTGAGACGCCATTTGTAGCAGCATTTGTAGCAGCGGCTCGATCGCGATCTATGACACAATGTCATTGGTGACAATTTCAGAATTCGAACAGCCTGTCGTTATTTCAACGAGGTTCTGAGGCGATTTGGCAGGGGGCGAGAGATACTGGCCGTAACAAAGGAGGAAAACGACATATTTGGGGCACGTTATGCGCAAAGTACGGGCTGCTGCAACTGATCATTGAAGGAAAGATCGAGGGCAGAAGAGGGATAGGAAGAAAGAAAATGTCCTGGCTCCGCAATACACTGACACTGGACTGGACTGAGCACCGTGGAAGATCTGATCCCGCACGCATCGAGGAATCGGGAAAGGATGGAGGGTGTAGTCGCGAACATCCATTAGTGGATATGTATGAGAAGAAGAAGAAGAAGAAGGCGTTTCAATAAAACGCGAAGCAGCGGCGTTTCCCGGATTTGACAGATAAATCGCAAGGAACGGATAATTCCGTCTAATTATCCTATCAATTGCGTCAAGCGCTCTTATATAACGTTGAAATTCTCTGTTTATTTATCCGCCGCGCGGTTTCTATTTCTACGGCGCGGCTCTGCCGTTGGCTCGTTAGCTGTTTAAACAGAGAGCGCGTTTATAATTTATTTCTATCCCGAATTTCCGTCTCCGTTCGGGCAGCATCGAACCCGCGCGGCGAGGCGAGGCCAGTCCCGTCGTCTCGATAGAGACAACGGGGAATTCATCGGCGATGTCATATTTGGCGATGTGTGGCGGTTTTGGAGACGGGAATTATTATTAAATTTCGGAGAGAGACCGCGCCGATTCGTTTTCCATCCTCAGCGAGTCGAACGGTAACGGTAACGGCGCGGATAGCGTTTGCCCGTCTCAAATACCCGGTTAATTCGCTCGGCAAATTAAAGGCAAATACGCGACCGCGATTTTGCAACTGATCATTTCCGCCGTGCCGGACCCGCGCCGTCGCTTTTTCCCCCCCGTTTCCTTCCCATTATCTCGTCGTCGTCGACGTCATCGTTGTGAGAACGGAGACATTATCTAAGTGCATCCACGGGGAAAGAGTGCTCGGCTCCATCTGGATTTTTGTTAACGTTCAGCAATGTTCATCGAAAGACGAATCGTTCCGGCGATTCTATTAAGACTCGAATACACTGTACTTGCAGCGGTGAAAATAAATATCAATCTTTCCCTACACAAAAAAGAAACCAACAACAATCACGGTCACGCACCGTCTACCGTTTTCATATTTTTTCCTAACAAAAATTAATGAAAATTTATGATCTCGCTGGATTTTAATTCACGGACAGTCTTGCCGGCGAGACGCGTGTGCCTCGCGTTACTCGGATCCTTAAACGGAATAGCAGCTTTTGTCCCTGTTCGCGCACTTCTTTTCCTAGCTTCACAATGACAGAACATTCGTTTTCGCTCTCATCCATCTCGTCCCTCATCTACCTTTATCCCGTTGATGCGTCGATGAAG